GTTTCTCTGCTTCCCTGCTGTGAATCACGTGTGAATGACACAGCTCTGACAACACCCAACCAACCCCATGGACACTGGGATAGCTGGGAACTGGGTTTTCTTCAGGTTGATCAGAATTCATAAACTGCACCAGGTGCTTTTAAATCATCCCACCCTTGTCCTTATCTGTTCTGCAGAATATTGCATTCAGGGAGATGAGGATCCAGCACAAAAGGCAGCAGCTGCTGGTGAGGAACAATGGCCCTGCCATGGAATCCTGGCCCCTTTCAGCAGCACTTCTTTTATAGTTGCCCACAAGAAGGAAATTAACTGAGTTTTTGAGTTTCCAGGAAGCCACTCTGAGAATTAAGTGTTACTCTGCAGCCCCAAGAGCTCCAGAGTGAATATTCCAGCCCTTTGTTCGCTGACAAATCGTTATTGACTCTCTGCTTCAAGCCCTGATTTGTTCTCCAGAGAGCTCAGCCAGTGTTTTTATAAACATATCTACAGCAAATTTCGGTTTATTTGAATATGCACTGATAGCATTTCCTCAGTCAGGGATCCTGTGGGAATGGCACAGACCACTTTAGAGGATAAAAGCAACAGTAAGAAACAGGAAGAAATCAGATGCTGATTAATATATAAACTCCCAAGTCCACGTTAATCCAAAACTTTGTCCTAACTTTAGGCTAAGACAGGGAAAATGTAAAAACATGCCCAGTGCCCCACAGTAAATCAGTGGCAGAGGCAGGTCAGGAACCTTTTTTCAATCCTCTCTAATATTAGAACTTTCTGGTGCTTTGCTTTTGGAAAAAATGTGTCAGGCCCACTATTGACTCCACTATTGACATTATTGATTCACAGGAGAAACCAGCATTTTCCTGGCCCACCTCTGGAAAGGTACAAGAAGCTGAGGATTCATTTCTTTCCCAGAGATATCAATATCCATCTGGGCTTCTGAAGAAATTGCAGCCCAAGACTATTGATTCCTTAAGCCTGAAATGAGCCGATTCAGTCATTTCCAGTGTTGCGTGGCCAGGGTGGATCTGAGCCCAAACACTCTGGGAATGCAGCACCAAAATCCCTCTGGAGCACCAAAGTCTCTCTGGGATCACTGGGATGGGGGGAATGATGTGCTGACCCACAGGGCTCCAGCCCACAGACAGCAGGGGAGGACCCTCTGGGTACCTCTCTGTGTCAGCTCTCAGGGGCCCAAAAGTGGCAGTTTATCCCTGTAGGAACAGAATTCTTTGGAATTTGTAGCACTGAAAGAACAAGCCATGCCCTCAGATCCTGGTGCAGCCCCTCACTTTCCCACCTGCTGCCTGCCTGTTAAAGGCACAGGATATTTGCCAGGACAGTTCCTGATGGGCTGTGGCTCCTGTGACTGGTTCAGACATTATTTCTGCAGCCATGCCTAGAGCCAGACTTTGCCAAGGTTGGATTTTACATCATGCAATTAAAGGCCAGTCTGTCCCAAGCAGTTGGGTACTTTCTCTGGCAGGACTAATGAGCTTTCCTGCCCCAGTGCAAGGCACAGAGATAATCATTTCCCAGAAGCCAGTTCTGACCAATAATTCTCTGTGCCTGCTCTGCTGAGGAGAGCAAAGTCTCCCCCTGCACCACAAGTGTGCACAAGACTCTGGTAACGTTGCCTGTTTTGGCAGAAAAGATGAAGGAGCTGCAGAGCATTCGAGTTCACAAGGCTCATTATGACTAATCTGCCTTCCTGAGCTGCAGGTCTTTTGTTCAGGAGTCACAGAGGGGTCTACCCTGAGAGAGAGCAGAAGATGCTAATGTGCTGGTTTATGTGTTTATAGCAGAGGGGGCACAGCCTGCAGCCCAAAGGCTCTGCAGCAGCTCCAGAAGGGAGCACGTGAGGGGAGAGGAGAACTGCCCAAATTCCAGCCAGGATCCACGTGGATCCACCTCCACCTTCCTGCACCAGCCTGGCTGCTGGAGGTGCACAGAAAGGGAGGCAAACTGAGGCAGACCAGGGGAAGGGGGACATGGGTTTTGGCCCTTGACTGGGGTTCCAGTTGCTGAATCCAGAGCTGGCTGGGATTCCATAGAGAAAGGGGCTGCTGGGGTTCCATAGCCTGGGCACTGCTCAGCCTCTCCTGCTCCCTGCACAGCACTGACCCGCAGGGAAGGGCATTTTTAGGAGCCTGCAGAACCAGTGCTCCAGACAGGATGCTGAGCAACCCCCCTGAGCCAAGGGGCACTGCACTGAAACAGGGAGTTTTCACATGGCACACTCTGTGTGAGACCTGAGCACCGTTTAAGAGGGTATGTGATGCACTTGTACCAATTAATTAGTGTTAAGGATGGGGTGGGGTTTTTCTTCCTCATGAGGATGAACTGTGTTCGCTGGTTTGCCCTGAGATCTTCCTTATTTTTATATTTATTGAATGCTGATGCCAGAAAGGCAAAGCCAAAGAGATGGGCCTGACACAGAAAGCAGCAAAGTTGTGATAAACTTGAAGGGAAGCTCATTCCACAGTTCAGGACTGTCCCCTAAAAAACCTCTGCCTTGTCCCCAGGGCAGTCAGAAACATTTGCCCTTCTGCATTTGTGGCCAGCTCCTCCTTGCATCAGAGAAATCCAGTTGTCAGCCGAGCCCCTCTGTCTCTCCAAAGCCTTCCCCAGCAGCAGCGTGTGATGGAGCAGTGAAATAATGAGCTGTCTCGTGCTGAGGATCTCAGTGACTGATGTTCCACTGCCAGCTCCCTTTTGCAGTGACATGGTGCAGTGCAGGAGGCCTCTTATCTCCCCGTGCTGCTCAGAGGATCTGAGGCTCCTGTTAAAGAGGCAGAAAGAGCGAACACACGGTGAGGAAATGCTGCAGAACACTCAGGAGATTTGCCCCAGGAACTGTTCTCCACAAACCAGAAGTGCCCTGAAAGGAGAAGCTTTTGCTTCTCTTGAGAAGGTTCTACTGTGGGTTTGAAGTTTCATTTTGTTTTGGCTTCGGGTTCAGGGTTGAGGTTTTTCTTTTTTAGAAGTCAGTTTTTCTTGTTATTGTGCTTTATTTTCTCCCATGATTCATCTAACTCCAGGGCATTTATTGAAATCCTTGATACAAAATTCAAGGGAAATGAATCTCACTTTAAACTTCCCAAGGACAGCTACATCACCCATTAAAATCTCCAGCAGTTTTCTGCAGCTCATCCCATTCCAGACTAACAGACGAGCTGCATTTCTGGCCCAGGCAGCTGTGATTTATAACACATCTCCCATCAGACCAGCCTTTAATTCATAGTTTTCCAGTGGAAAAAAATAAAAGCTTTTTTCTTTAGTAGGACTGGAAAAAAAAAAATGTAGCAGCAGCAGCAGCAGCAACACTCAGATCTGAGTTTTACAAGCAGTTAAACACATCCACACTGTAAATCAAAGGGCTGAGGCAGATGGCAGAGTCAGTGAGACTCAGAGCTCGTCCATTAAACACCTTTCCCAGTTCTGAGTTATTAAATTGCTGTTTTCCTGACTCAGAGTGTAGTTCATTTTCTTATAGATGGCCGGATGGAAAACATCTTGTGACACAACCAGAAGCCCAAGGAGTCTAAGAGAGGACAGATCCTTCTTGGCCTCAAAGAAAGCATAAACATCTCAAAGGAGAGTTGTCCATCCATTAAATAAATGTAATCATTTTGAGGCAAGCAAAATGTACAAAAACATTCCCATCCTGCTTTCCAGGAGAAATAATTGCTGTCTATATACCCAGCTCTAGTATTTATTTGGCTCCCTTGGCACTGCAAAACTCACAGTGGAACATTAATTGGAAAAAAAAAAGGAAATTATTGCAATAACACTTGGAAAGTTCAGGAGAACTCAGTTTGACTTTAGCACTAAAGATGACTCAGAAAGGACAGTGCGTGTACACACAACAATTCGGGTTTGCAGCACCCCAAAGGGGTCAGGAGCTTTAGGGTTTCACTGCCAGGAAAGGCTGAAAGCAGCATTTGAGATCCACTCCTTTGAAGAAAATTCTGCAGAAACTGAATTTCCCTAAAACCCAACCACAGAGATGGGTTTCTTCCTGTTCTCTCTTTGTCTAGGGCTATTTGGTAAGATGAGAAACACATTCAGAAAAGATATCAAGCCATTTTGGGGGGGAAAAAAAGAAAAAGAAAAAAAGAGCTTTCTTAGGAAGCACTTCAAATTATGGGCTGCTAATGCTTTGAGGGTGAGGCAATCTCAAGGATATTAAACCCTAAGAAGATATTAAAATATTGCAACAGCAGCTACACTTTCAGGAAATGGTTTCTCTCGGTATTTGAATTGCAAAGAGAATCTATTTCCCATTACAGAGCGTTTAACGAGGAGCCCCGCGGAGCTCTCAGCCCGGGAGCTCAGCAAATCCCCGGGACGTGCTGGGACTCTGCCGGGGAAGGATGCAGGTGAGCGATGCCCCTCCCTGGCAGTGCCCTGTTCCTCTACACGGGAGGTGTGCGAGCTGTTAACGCTGGGAACGACAACCACCCTCAGCTTCCTTAGAAATTCCTGCTTTCCTGCCTTAGCAGTGGGTCATTCCACGTTTTCCCTGCGAAACCCTACAGCTGTGCAGGGGCAGCGGGAATCTTGGAGCTCGGAGGGTGCCCGGCGTTCCAGGGCCGTGTAGCGCATCCCTGGCAGAGCATCCCGGGAGGAGCATCCCGGGAGGAGCATCCCGGGAGGAGCATCCCGGGAGCAGCATCCCGGGAGGAGCATCCCGAGTGCAGCATCCCGGGAGGAGCATCCCTGGCAGAGCATCCCGGGAGGAGCATCCCCGGCGCTCACCTGCGCAGGGCAGGGCAGGGCGGCCGGGCAGGGAAGGGCTCGTTCCCCCCGCGAGTCCCTGGCGGTGGGAGCCGCTCCCTCCTGTCCCCGGGACCCCTCGGAGCCCCCCCGGAACCCGGCGCTGTCCCGCTCCCGGTGCTGGAGCCGGTCCCGCATTCCCGGCGCTGGAGCCGCCCGTCCCCGCCCGCGGGAGCCGGAGGGATCCGGGGGAGGAAACTTGGCCCCCTCCCCTCCCTCTCCTCCCCTCCCTCCCTCCCAGCATCAGGCGAGGCAGAGAGGGAAGCGCTGCGGGAATTTCGCACCCCGCGGGCAGCCGAGGGAGCTGGAGTGGAAACAGGTTGTTGGGATCGCGCCGTGGGAGGGAAGCTCTGGCTCCGAGCGCCAGCTCAGCCGAGTCTGGGCTCTGGGAGACGGAGACGGAGCTGCTGCTGTTCCAGCCGGCGATGCGCTGAGCGAGATGGACAGCGATTCCCTGCCGAGATCGCCTCTTCCCGGGAAGCTGAGCCGCTTCCCGAGCTCCTGAAGTTCCAGCGGTCGCCAGCTCAGCCTGGGGTTACACAAGTTCCACCTGCACCAGTCCCGGCTGGCGGGGATCAGGCAGGTGATTCTTTCTCTTTTTTTTTGCTCCTCTGCTCGTGCGTGAACGCTGAACACCAAAAAGTCTGCCCGAAGGCCCTGGAGAGCTTGGGAAAAGCCACGGTGGAGAGTTGTGGTGTTTTGGATATATTTGGCTCGAAGTGCTCGCACCTCTGCTCGAGGGACTCGTATGGCTTGAAGGTAAGAGATGCGTGATGATGCTTTTCCTCAAGAAATACAAATGTTGTGAATAAGGGAATACAGAGAGTGTATTCACAGAGCTGCTGTGATCACCACTGCCTAGACATGTAAACAAAGACAGGAGAAAAAGGAAAATATTTGTCATTGTACCAAAAGACCCATTAAGCTGTTCTCCAACAGAATAGGTGAAAGCGAGTTTTCAAATTGAAAAAGGCTGCCTTATTTCTTCATCTAAACCACTCACTGCAAGCCCATAAACAGTTGTTATTGTATGCTAAAGAGGCATTTAGAGTTGCTAAGAAGCTGGGTTCATTTTTAGAAGTTTGATGCTTAACACTGCTCTCACACAGACACAATGGAAGGAGAGTGACAGGGAGGGCTGTAGGAGGAGGATGTGTAGAGAGGATATAATGTAGGTACATTCCATTTCCCCGGGGAACAAGACTGTTCAGTCAAATTGTCTGAGGGAAAACACTCCTTTTTCTCGTACGACATTCAGTTTTTCACACACGGTAGAGGAAAACTCGTGTCCCTTCAAATTCCCTTCCCAGAGCCACCCCTGAACAGCCCTTCCTGCTGAAGGGGGGGAGATCTGTCACCTTTTCCCGAAGAAGCCCTGGAAGGAACCCTTTAGAAAATACTTCTCTGAATGTTGCAAGCAGATTTTGTGGCCCGAGGGGCGCCTGAACCCTTCCTGTTTGTGTATTAATATTTTTCTTCCATTGCCCTCCAGTTCTAAGTTTTGCCCAGCTTTTTGAAAGCAGTGAAAAGCAGAGTTTTGGGGCAGGGAAGCAGGCACTAGGGTGGCACTGGGCCCTAATCAGTGCTGGAGTGGTTTTGGTCCAGGTTGTTGTCTGTGGGTTGTTTCTGCACAGATAACAAATCCTCACTTGTGAATTCCCAAGTCTCTCTCTCAGCCCGACTTTCCCACATGCAAAACGTGGAGCCCCAGAGCTCCCAGGAACACGAATCCCTGTTCTCCGAGCAGAGCTCACAGGAGAAATGAAAGATAACTCGGTTGTTTTATAACTAACCAGCCACAGGATTACAATATAACTGGTCAAATGGGTTACAATTCACCCCCGAGTAGCGTGGGTTGGATTTCCTACGTGTTCCCTGTTCCATGGGATTGCTCTTCTCTGAACACACAGTGGTGTCAGGGATTCACAATCCTGTGCCTGTGGGGTTTTATCTCTCTCAAAGTAAAAGTCCATTAATTGCTTGTGGCAATCTAGAAAAAAACAACCTCTTGACAATACTTCTGACTCCATCAAATAAGTGTACAGAGCGCTGTACTTGTTATTTTTTCCCCACTGAACTTCTTTTCCATGCTGCAGAAATTCTGTGACATTCAAGCCTTTCTTCTTTACTTCTGAACAGAGTTTTTGTAAAAGCACTTTCCACTGATTTGTGCACCATGTGGTCATCTTTTCCTTGCATGGGGAGTGTATGGCATGACAGGGAAAGAAGTTCAGGCTTCAAATCTCCTGGGGTTGTTTGAAATCACCAAGATGTGAGTTTGGGGCCTGCCTTCCCCTTTAATGTTTCTGGAAACAACTCCAGAGCAGGTGTGTGCCATGGGTTTGAGTGAGTTGCCTGGCACAATGTGCCACACTGCAGGAAACACCCCCCAGAAGCATTTATTTCCTGCAGGTACATGTGTGTAAATCCAGTGTGTCAAACCTGCCCTGGTTTTATCTGTGTGTGTGGCTTCCTGCAGGCACTGAGGTGGCAGGGGAGTGAGGAGGAGGTTCAGCCTGGCACTCTGTGAGAGTGCACGTTTCAGACTTCAGAGAGAAGCTGGTGAGCCCTCAGGAGCCTGTGAACACTCAGTGTGGGGTGTGCTGCACGTACCATGGGTTGTACCCACACCCAGACAGCCTCTCCCTGGGGCATTTTGCTGCTGTGCCACTCTCACCCTCTGGATTTGGGTGAGATCGGTGGTCACACGGTGTCCCTCCCTCGTGCCCACCCTGTGAGGGGTTCCATCCCCCCCAGCCTGCTCTGCCGAGGTGATTTCTCGTGCCCTGCTCCCCGAGGGGAGGCACAGCTGGGCATCCCTGGCTCTGCAGCCCTGCCTGTGTGCAGGGGCTCACAGATTGCACTCCAGCCTCCTCCAGCTTGGCTGGAGTGTGAGACACCTGCCTGGCAGAAATACTCAGCTTTCCCTCTAATGGCACTTCAGTGCTGGTTCAGTGTGTTCCCCCCACCCTCCCTCGGGCTGTGCCACCGTCAGCAAAGGCTCCAGGCACTGGGCAGGGGGGACACAGGTTCCAAACCTGCTGGGAAATGCAGCTGGAACACAACAGCCCCCGGCTGAAGGGTCTGCACGGACCAGGGAGGACCTGTGACTAAGCTATTCCCCCTCAATGACTCAGGCTTAGCACAAAAAGCACGATTCCCTGGGTGTTCTTCTCCTAAAATCCATCCTTTGTGTTAAATCAGCAAATCTCCACTCTCCCATCCTCTGTTTCACCAAAACTTTGGAATTCAAAATCAAGCTTATAGAATCACAGAGTATCCTGAGCTGGAAGGGACCCACAAGGATCATCCAGTCCAACCCCTGGCCCTGCACAGACACCCCAAAAATCCCCCCCTGTCCCTCAGAGTGTTGTCCAAACCCTCCTGCAGCTCTGGCAGCCTTGGGGCTGTGCCCACTGCCCTGGGGAGCCTGGGCAGTGCCCAACCAGCCTCTGGGGGAGAACCTTTCCCTGAGATCCAACCTGAGCCTGCCCTGACACAGCTCCAGCCATTCCCTGCTCACAGAGAGGAGAGATTGGAAGTTTTAATCCCCTGGCAAGGATAAAGCTCTGCCCTGTGTCACAGCCACGTCACCCTGGGACTGTAAAACCCTCCATGGCCAGGTATGGACTGACCCTTGGAATGAGAAATACATGGGATTGTTCTCTCAGGCCACCTCAAAACTGCAGGGAGTATTTGGATGGGAACAAAAACCAAGCTTCCTCCAGAAGAAAGCAGAATTCCACATTACTTGGAAAAACTTTGGGTACTTCTTTCTACTGTGTGAAAGAAGCCTTGGAATGAGCTCCTAAGCCCTGAGTTCTGTCCCTGCAGAGCATTTGCTCGCTTGTCTTTAGCACCCCTGTGCTGGACATACCCTTCTTCTCACCAGCAACGTTCTGGAACAAACATTACACACAAAATCTCTGAAACAACAACAAGAAAACCCTTTGAAAAATACTTATCACAAGGACCTGTAGCTCTTCAGCTGTGAGCGAGATGGATTTGGCTCGGGCCCCTTAAATCCTTTCATCGTAACTCGTCTGCAGTTTCTCCCTCTGGGCACAAATTCCCCGGGAACACTGAGGGAATCTGGGGCTGAGTGTTGGCTTTCCCACATGCCCAGAGCTGAGATCCCAGTGCCAGCACATGCAGGACAGGGAGTGTGTCCACATTCTGGCCACAGGATGGCTGGATGCAAAATGTTCCCAAAGTGGCCCAGGTTCAAGGAGACAGTGGGGAATTTCAATTCCCAGGGAAAGAATTCCAGGGATGGTTAATAAAGGCATAGAAACCACCCTGGCACAGTGAACACTTGGATGATGGGAGGTTATTTGCAGGAATATCACCCATATTGCTCCATTTTTACACTCTTGCCCAGGCAGTGGCTCTTGGACACTGGTGGGTAAAAGGCACCAGACTGGTGGGACTCTGCCTGACCCCTCAGGGTTAGTCCTTAAAGGCTACAGGGGAAAATACAGTGGGATCAATGTTAAAATGTGTTAAGGTCTGGAATACAGGGAGGAAAGGTTTTGAAAGACTTGTCTGGGATCAAACTTCACTGAATTTAACAAATAAAAACTTCCAGTAACTCTGTTTGCTTTGGCCAACTCCTGGGGAGCAGAGACTGCTCTGTTTGTGCCAGGGCACTGCTAAAAGGCTCTTTGGGAAAGGGGGAGGCAATTGTTTAAGTCCTGTCAGATGCATCATCCCTTGTGCTGTTACAAAACCAGCCTATATTCAATCTGAAATGATTGCTAATAACTATTAACTCCTCTACCAATTGTTCCACTTCAATCATGTTTTCTCTTGCTGTCCTTCACCTGGATATTTTTAGCGTTATAATTTATTTTCTTTTTAAGATGTGACTATGTGTTCAGTTGCTGCTTCTCTGAACATCCCTCCCAATTATCCCGGTGGGTATTTTTCTCTCAACCCCCCAGAATGGGTTTATTTCTGGTTTACTCTTCCCTGTTGGTTTCCATGTGGTTATGTGGGAGGCTGCACTTTCTTTATCAAAGCAGAGAGCCATGATTAGTCCATTCAGAAAATGTAAATGCAGCCTTATGTGTTCTGTGGAGCTGGAGAAGGAGAGACTGTGAGGAGCAATAAATCTGGCACTGATGGCACACACTGAGCCCTGCAGGTTGGCCTGGCTGAGCTCAGTGATGGCCACACTTCACATTTCTAGTGGAGCTAAATAAACACTCAGAGCCCTGTGCTGCTGCCTGGGAGAGCCAATCCCAGTGCCAGGCAGTCCTGCTGAACTCAGGGAAATCTCTGCCATTCACTGGGGTTTGTGGTTCCTTTCTCCACGTGTTCCATCATTTATCCCAAATTTCATGCTCTGTACCCTCAGCTGTTCCTGCCTGAGATGTCCCAGGATCTGCAAGCACTTACTAGTTGATAAATACATATATTTGATTTTGCTCCCTGCTTCAGGTTGCCAACTGCTAACGCTGGGGATGGATCAGCAAAATCAACACTATTGAGGATGCTCTGTGCAATCTGCAGCTTTAGAGAGAAATGAACTCTTCACCAGCAGCTCAGGTTTTTCAATCATCTCCCCTCAATGCTGCAGCTGAGACACTGGATCAGACAACTTGGAGTTATTACCTAAAATATAGCACCTTGCAAATTACTCGCCTAAACTGAATCCTATTTTGATGTCTCAGGCAATCTGGAGCTTCAGCAAATTAGGATTCTGTTTGCAGCAGGCCCTCCCTGACCCCCAGCACCTCTGTGCCTGCACATCTCAG